GATTCGTTCCTTGTTTACTCGAGGGCGCTGACGCCGCGTAAATTAGCGTTGCCAAAGGATGTTGCATCCGGATCAAGAGATCAAGCTGTGCTTCAACACGAGTCAGAAGTGTCTCCATCGTCTGAATACGGGCGTCATCGCCTTTAAGCGTCGCCAGGAGGCTGCGCTTCGCTCAGAGCTTGCTGGGTTTGGACTTAAGTCTCACGGAGGCTATTGACATCTTTCGACAGGTTCGAGTGGCTCTCAGCCCATACACCGACCGACACCGGCATTGCTTGATAGGCAAGTGAACCTCCAGTTCCATGTAGAGAAGTTACTTCAACGACATTGTCGTCATGGTCACTATTAATACCTGGTGAAGTGGCGTGGGTATTCCGAGTCTGAGCACTCACGATAGTGTGAGATACCACTTCGGCAAGACTGCCCATACGCCGTGGACGTTTTTGAGCGCCACGATCAGGCCCGTCTTGACAAGCAACACGCTTCTCACTACTCAGAGTGAGAGTGGGTGTTTTGGATCAAATTACTGACGTGAACTCGTGGCTGCAGGAGCAGCTAAAGCATAGCGGGAATGAGTTAATCCCCTCAGTCGACCTCTGACCTTTAACTTCGCAAAGTCGTAGCCAAGTCTTCGCTCTAGGCGAACATCTGCTAAACTGGCACTTGCTCTCAGAACAATCATACTACTGAGGCTTCGAACGCCATGTACCCGACATATGAACGCATTATCCTCTGAGACGTCGTCCTTCCCTTAGACATTGAGACGGTTGTACCCTTTATCGGGGGAACCGGTGTGCCATTGGCCCGCTTCTGGGGCCTTTCTCGATACTCGCTCAAGGTCATCACAGTAGATTTCAAATGCCCTTCTTATAGAGCCTTTAGGCATTCAATTTCGATGCGAGTTTTTCGCCTTGGGGTCAGTGGCCCACCCTACCAAAGTATGGCCAGCTGTTTGACGGACGCGTTCTTCCACGTCAGGCGGAGTGAATGTGTATTCACGGTGTCGCTGTAACGTGGTCAGAATGTCTGACTTGCGCCGTGCGCTTTCCGCCTAGTCAAGTATTCGTCGTTTCTCCTTGTAAAGTAGGTCACTGATGATGGATGGGTCCATGCTACGCATAGCACCCAGCGCTGTTAGCGCAATCGCGGCATCACGTTCAGGGAACGGATTCGGTGTCAGACGTGGGATGCGTACACACTCAGATGTGCCGGGTTCGAAATTCTCCTCCATCTGGGTGAAGGTATCACTACCATTGCTATCGTCCACTTCCTCGACACCAATTTATTTGGCTAGAGCCTAATCCTTCGTTTGGTGTCCAGGTCATCCAATGATGACAAGTAACAAAGTAACACCTCACTGAGGAGACAAGTTCAGTGACGTTTTGTGGTAATGCAGTCTAGTAAGGGAGGATGTAAAGGGGTCACAAAAGCCATTGGCTAACTCGCTTGAAGACCTCCCATAGGTAATATGGGAGACAAGTGTGGCCTCAGATTTTTATCAAAAGAGAATACCGATTGGTCGGTATTCTCGGAGTTTTGGTAATTATCGCGGAAGTACTTTGTACCGTCATCATTTGATGACTGAGTGATGTACCAACTATATATTTAGTTTGAATAAGAATGTTTGCATTAGTTCTAATTTAGTAAAATATAGGTCACTTAAAGCAGGATTTTCCCTGGTGTGAAATCTAAATAAATTCAGATCTCATTTGGAGCAGAAGTCCGTAGACTTTCATCCTTTCGCACGTTGCGCTTGACCGTATCGTAGAGCTGTCGTGGGTCAGAGTGTCCTTAGACTCCAGTATCCCCGTTTGCACATTGTGCGTGTGGTTCCTTAGAGCTACAGTAGTCTGAGCTAATAGCTCATAGAGTCCGCGCTAAGTTCCGTATAACTAGCCGACTCTTCAACTTGATATATTAGCTCCTTAGAACTAATTGAATGTCAGCCGTAAGCCTCTGGCTCAACCCGTAAAGTATCCTCTGACTTTAGAGCTGTGGTAGCTCCGCGACACAAGGTGGCTAGTTTAGAGGAGGCTGTCATAAGCGTAAGCGGAATGGAAGTAGAAATGTTGTTTGCCGCAAAATACATTTTGGAAAGGTGGCGGTTTTTTTACCATGGCTACGACTCGAACGAGTAAGAAAAATCGGGAGGCGTGGTTACCTAACCGCGGTACAAGCAGCCAGGTGACATAGTGACAGAAGCGATTATCAACTTTAATGGCACAGATGATCATCATGGTGTAACAGTGGCCAATAGCAACAATTGGAAGTCAAAGATCGTGGTAGTGTTCGCCGTTTTTGTTGAGAATGATTTACAGCAAGATTAACGGACGTCATGTATGTTCTAACGCTTAGCGTCAAGCTTGTGACGACATGAGATTTGATTGCTTGTGGTATCGTGGTTTCAGTTTAGCATAACCACGCCCTGAACCACGTTTCATTGGAAGACTCAGTCGTGCTAGTATTCTGTAAGGTTGGAAACTGTATGCGTGGCGAACTGGACGTGAGATAACGAATGCCGCTTATAGCGCAACGTTAATATATCCAGCTGATATCGATAGAGTGTTGACACATGCTAGGATGGGTCATGTGTCTACAACTCAAACGAAAGAGATGATAACCAAGGCTTGCAAGGGGTTTTCTGGTCTCGGATACGATGACGAGAAGAATTCGGTCTATGCACGGGTGGACGTGGAAAGATGGCCACTATTCCGTCCATCCGTTCATCTGGTAGGGATGTGCAGACAGTGTTCCTTTTCAGCTGGTTCGTAGTGAGTTCATGGGGCCCATTCAACCATTATCGAAAGGTGTAGCCAAACTGAAACGGGTTAAATTGTAACATGACAATTTAGAAGAAATTGTTAATAGAATATAACTATAAGAGTTATATTCTCAGAATATTGTCATAAGGACGAATATTCTGTAGCACTTACGAGTAGTTCCTAATTGGTTGATACAGACCATTATATCAACCAACGAAGACGCGCACGACAGACGCACGCAATGAGTGGTGAGCAGATAGTTGATATGCACATTTGTATTCAGACATAGTTAGATGAGGATAATTAGTGGTTTATTGTAGACATTAACTGGACTAAATACAGTTCTACTTTTTACTTTAACCAAGTACTCGCTTCTTCTTACCGTCTTCCTCTGCACGTACCAGTGTACGTGAAGTTCCGAGGCACCTCCTTATTCTTTCGTCAGAATAAGTAGCTTGTACTGTCATCAGTACAAGCTTCAGGGTGCCCCGTTACAGAAATCGTAACCTCATTTTCATCGAGGCAAAGCAGCTTATCGTGTCTTTCGTTCACATCCGCATCATCTGCATAATAAAATGGTACGATCGTTTGCTGTGAAAACCCCTCAATGCGTGACACATGGTCTTCATTATGCAGTAGAAGGAATTCATTAAAGGAACGTGGCGTAGGCCGACCAGAACCACCACTGGAATACAAGTTGGTTTGAGTTATCTACTGAACAAAAATTGATCCATGATGTATTCCATCCCGCGTAAGAACGCCAACCGATGGACTAGTCGTCTAGATCAAGTGGAACGAGTGGCTTGGTCATCAGCCGAGGATCATTTAGAGCCATCTAAAGAAAGATGATTTCACCCGCGTTAACACCAGGTTATACCAGCTTCATTACCATCCATGTCAATATGTCCATCCGCATTTGAGAACTGACGTAATCGAGAGCATTTATCTCATCTACATCCATTGCTGTAAGGAGGAAAGTCTGGGATCGACACGCAATCAGCAAGGTCATCATCACACGCCTACGCTTGTCGGTGGTTATGTTCACATAAGCAACTGTCCGACGAGAATTAGGCGGTCGGTGGTTTAGAACGACAGTACGAGTAGCGACAATGATGTTTTTTTCGGGATCACACACTCAGTAACCTTTGGACGCTTCTGCATATTAAAGAGACATGCAACGATTGACCTTCGCGGAAAGTTTCGTACGCTTCTATTCTTATTCGGTAGGACCCATCCGAGACGAAGACACAAAGACAGTTCAGCACTGCTTTGGTTTCGTTTAAAATTTTATAGTGGCCAACATCAGGACGAGCACTGCTTGGAATTCATTTCAAAATATGGGCGACAGTCATTAGTGCTTGAGCCCACCACACGCGGTCAACGTGCATATGAAGGAGCAAAGGTCGTGTATCTTATCCAAGAGAGTGAATCATCCGCTCCGCAAGCCCAATTAGTTGTGGAGAGTACGGCGCTGATGTCCGGTGTAAAATCTTTTCAACACGCACGAGTGGTTAAGTCTCTTACTTGTGCATTCGCCGCCCTTATTAAGGAAAACCCCAATGTATTTTGGCATTATACTGTCTGGAACGACTCCGATGTTGCTTTTATGGGATAGACAAAAATCATTTGTAAGATCCAACAACAAAAGTAGCATTGTATTTGCATAACGGGGCACCCTGAAGCTTGTACTGATGACAGTACAAGTTGCTTATTCTGACGACAGAATAAGGCGGTGCCTCGGAACTTCACGTACACTGGTACGTGCAGAGGAAGACGGTAAGAAGAAGCGAGTACTTGGTTAAAGTAAAAAGTAGAACTGCATTTATCATAGTTAATGTCTGCAATAAATCACTGTTTATCCTCATCTTACTATGTCTGAATACAAATGTGCCTATCAACTATCTGCTCACCACTCATTGCGTGCGTCTGTCGTGGCGCGTCTTCGTTGGTTGATATAATGGTCTGTATCAACCAATTAGGAACTACTCGTAAGTGCTACAGAATATTTGTCCTTATGAATACATTCCGAGAATACAACTCTGATAGTTATATTCTATTAACAATTTCTTATAAATTGTTATGTAACGATTCACCCCGTTCATCACCCCCCCCCTGAACCATCAGTCACTTTAGTGTTTATTTGACTAATTGGATACTCGTCCCAAATCATTTGGGACAGGGTTTACACTTGTTGGTCCGAGTCCACTTTCCAACAATTCATCGCATGTTAACAAGCCCATGCGGTGCGCGAGCAAGGCCGCCGAGAGCGCGTCCACACGTCTCTGTGCGGACGCCGAAGCAGAAACCCCAGCAACTGATGTCTCATCGGTTGCTGAAGCGACTCAGCCTGTGTCACTTGGTGACGCAGGCGCTGGTCATGAAGACACTCATGTCTTCACAGAGTATGAGCTCGGTGTCTCATACTCTCCCGACACGGAAGACGGATCCGTAACGAAGGCGGTTGAATCTAAGCCGCCTACAAAGCGTGGTATGGATGATGCTATGCGTCGCAGCACCTTTGGTTCATGTGACGAATCAGATGAACCATCGCCGAAGCGAAGGCGCTCGAGGTCGCAAGACTCGGGCGCTCACAGAGGTGTCGGTTCTCCAATTGACACCACTTCGCAGCGAGGTACCAGTACTTCTGTCTGCACGTCGCAAGAAGAGCGGTACTGCAACGTGTTGCGTCTCCCTCCCGAGAAGAAGGCATGGATGCCTCCAAAATCCGTCATGGATCACTTGTCGGCGACGACGAGCGATCGTTATCAAACACGATTGTTCGATTCGTCATAGATCCACCACCTTGACCCCAGTGCGAAAAACTATCGCGCTGAGAATGAGTTCTTCATCGATGCTTTCTTCAGACATCGATGGTACAGTGGGAATCACAAACGTGATGGTCCCTCACTGCTTCAAGCGTGGAACGCCTATATCCATAACCTTGAGGATGTAGGTCGTGACGCTTGGAACGACAAACTTATCAAAGATCGTGATAAGTTTGAAAAGCGAACCCCCACAGGTGCACGCTACAAGCTGCATCGTCTGTCAAGGGAGAAAGGATTACCCTGCCTCTCTTGGGGAGACTCGTGCCCATGTTGTGTGAACAACTCTGCACGAGCACCTAAGGAGGCTTACCTCCTTACCAGCCCGTGGTGGCGCGTACGTATCTCTACTGAGATGTACGAAGGGATTGACAACCTGAAATCCCTTTACGACCGTGTTGGGAAGACCTTTTCCAGCGGTCCTTCTGCGGCACAGGATGTGCCGCATCGTACTGCTCGACCAGACCCAGTACGTCAACCATCAGTTGGGAGCGGGGCTCCCAAGTGTCCCAGGACGGAGGATAGCTGCGCCACCGGACGAGACAACTCGTCCGACGTCCGTTTATATCGCGGTGGTTCAACAGCTGCTCAACCAGATAGCGCTGGCCACCGCGAGAGTCCTCTAATGGAGGTGGAGGAGGAGGGAAAACGCTCTCCACAATTTCATGGGGATCCGTGTGTTCCCGAGAGCTTCTTTGATCGCGTAACGCAAGGGTTACGCGGCGATCTCGAACATGAGCGGGACAGGCGTCTTCAACTGGCGGACGCTGTCTTGAAGCATCGAGCTGAGTTTGCCTTTGCTCAGCTTGAGAACGAGAGAGCTCTGACGTCTCTTCGTGACGAGCGAAGGGTAGCTCGTGGGATTGTTGATCGGTCTCGGGATGAGATAGCTGCTCTTCAGACCCTTGTCGATGGCCACCATCGGGAGCACAAGGCTCTCTGCGAGATGCTTGAGCGCAAGGGCGTTCTACATCGGAAGAAGCAGCGTACTGATGGTACGGCTTAAGCCGACCAACGTAAAACGTGGGATGCGTTCGCATCTTACGTGGTAACTCGATCGTGTATGCATTGCCTAGGCGATGCAATACACGAAATGGGCCGATGTACTTGGGTAGAAGTTTACTGCTACCCAAGTTAGTCACTACATGCTTTGGTAGATTAACCGTAGACAGTAGGACTAAGTCACCTTTATTAAATAAAATAGTGTTTGCCCTTCCATTCTTGTCAGCGTTTTGCTTTGCTTATCCACCGCTTTGGCGATGGAGTCTTGCACAAAACGGACTACCGTTTCACGAGCCAGTATGAACTCATCTGATGACTCGTTAGCTTCAGTGTGCTGTGAGCGCACTGCAGCAACATCAACCTTTTCTTCAGTGAGGGCTTCCGCACTCTCACTGGCATCATCTTCTTCGATATCGATTTTATCGATATCGGCATCAAACGCAATGAACTCTTCGTCAGAGCGTGATGAGCGTGAACCAAATCGGTTTTTGCTCGCGCAAGTCTCTCCCCCCCTTAAACCAGAGTTACACTCGAGTAAGGTGGGAACACGCGGACGGCGTAAGCCATTCACGTAAAACGGTGTATGTGTCGTGGACGCATGCACCGAGTCGTTAATGGCGAACTCTACCATTGGCAAAAACTCACTCCAACTCTTAAAGGAGTGTACGTATCCTCGAAGTATCTCTTCAAGGACACGATTGGCACGTTCCGTCTGACCATCTGACTCTGGATGATCAGATGTTGACATCTTCAAGCGCTTTCCGAGTGATTTGAACACGGAACGCCAGAAATCAGCAGTGAATCGTGGATCTCTGTCTGATACGAGTTCACGGGGCAACCCATGAAGTCGGAAGATGGTGTCAATAAAAACACAAGCACAGCCACTTGCCGTGATTGTCTCTGGTACAGCCACAAGGTGTACCATTTTGCTGAATCTGTCAACAAATACGAGAATACCCGTATTCCCGCGTGCGTCTTTGGGTAACCCGAAGACGAAATCCATTGAGATGGATTCCCAGCACTCAGCCGTAACTGGTAGAGGCTATAAAGGTGCACGCATTGAAGGACTTGACTTCACTTGTTGACAGACTTCGCATGCGCGAACATACTTTCGCACAAATTGATACTGGCGGGGCCAGTAAAAGTTTCGACTTACCGTGAGATATTTTTTCTCCCGGCCACGATGTCCTCCCATAGGAGCATCGTGATACTCGAACATGATCCGCAAACGCAGATCAGTATCATCTGGAATGACAACACGTGGTGTGTCACCAGTAACGGCTGTATAGTACAGTAAACCGTTACGAGTAGTGTATCAATCTGATGCAGATCGATACGCAGACGATAATCGTTTCAACGATTCTTGAGATGGTTGGGAGAGATGTGTCAACAACTTCACAATCTCACCATCTTGGGCGTATGCCCGCCTCACATCATCGTACAACATTGTAGATGGAACTGAGGACGTCATAACCGCAACAGTGACTGTCTCACTGTTGGGTTTCGCGACTGTTTCAAAGTCGGGACGACGTGAGAGTGCATCAGCGACGACATTAAGTCGCCCTGGTTTGTACTCGACCGTAAAGTTGTATTCTGCAAAGAATGACAACCACCGCGCCATTCGTTGTGAAAGGTGCGGGCTGTTCACTGCCGTGCGTAATGACGCATGGTCAGTGTAAACAATGAAGGGTCTATCTCCTAATAGATAGACTCTGAACTTCGCGAGTGCATACTTCATGGCAAGGAGTTCCTTGTCATGCACTGGATAGTTTCGCTCAGCTGGTTGCAGCTGACGCGACTGATAGCAGACGACGCGTTCAACGCCTTCAAGATCGTACTGCATTAATGCACAGCCGATTGCGAAATCGCTGGCATCACAGACCACATGAAATGGCCTGTCCTGATCGGCTATTGCTAGGACTGGGGATTGTATCAAGCTCTGCTTGATACCCTCAAAGGAGCGCTGGCATTCAGCGTTCCATAACCACCTCTCGTTCTTTTTCAACAAACGAGAGAGGTGCACAGTCATCTCGGCGTAATTGCGTGAATACTTATGCAAATACGCCGCTAGCCCAAGGAATTTTCGAAGACCTTTGACATCGACCGGCACAGGCCAGTCGGTGATAGCCTTGGTCTTTTCGGAATCAGGACGTACTCCGTTCTTACCAACGATGCACCCAAGAAGTGGTACTTCGCTTGCTGCAAATATACACTTCTTGAGGTTTGCATACAGTTGATGCTTTCGCATGATTGCAAGAACCTGTCGGACGTGGTATCTGTGAACCTCAACGTCCGACTTTCCATCCATAGCCCGACTATGGATGAATACGCCATCGAAATAACTCGCGCGCGAATTTTTGTAATGGTCTCAACAGATGTGATACACATCTGTTGAACGTGACAGGGGCATTACTAAGCCCTTGTGGCATTACTAGCCATTCCCAGAGCATGCCGCTAGGCGTGCTAACTGCGGTATAGGGTATATCCCGTTCCCGCATTAGGATTTGATAGAAGCCATCCATCAAATCCATGGACGAAAACATGGTACTCTTTGACATACCATCAATGATTACGTCCTTCCTCGGTATCGGCGTCTGAGCCGGTACCGTTGCAGCGTTCAATTTGTTGAACGCGTGCACTATCCGCCACCCTCCTGTTGCTTTTCGCACACAGAAGGTCGGAGAGCTATGTGGGGAAGTTGATTCCCTCACATGGCCCGCTGCTAAACGATCGGCAAAGAACTTGTCGATCGCAAGTACTTGTTCACGAGGCAGTGGCCACTGCTTCATGACACAGTACTTCGAGCCTGGTTTAAGCTCGACTTCGTGTCGAATACCTTTATCCTTCGGTAATTCGCACGGAACAGTTTCAGGGAATACATCCTTGAATTCAACCAAATCTTCATAGAGAGGATTTTCCTTGAGCGATTCCCATGATTGGGACTCATATCGCTCAATTCGTGTCTTTTCATCTAGGACACTCTCGTCCATAGATGAACTACTGAGAACTCTCTCGTTCTCAGTAAACACTGTTGCTGACCTTATGTCGGTTACACACTCGTCGTCAGCGACGAGTATGCAGATCTGCTTGACTTTGCCACTACGCAGATCACGCAAGAACCTTTTATGTTCGAGCGTTGGCAACTGAGTCATCTCCGAAGTTAACTTCGGAGGCGCAATCAGATCAAGTGTATAAGCGCCTACACATGATCCGTTATTGACTATGACACTCAATGTCTCTGTCATTTCCTGGGGACTTATTCCCTCAGGCTTCGAAGGACTTATTCCTTCGTCTTCCCGGGGACTTATTCCCTCGGGTTTCGGGGAACTTATTTCCGCCGTATTTGTAATCTTGGGACTTATTCCCTTTACTTCCTCTAGCTGGGGTTGCGCAACCACAGCGAGATCCTCTACGAAAGACTCTCCAGTCGATCTAGGATTATCGTTTCGCTTAACCTGAGCGATCGATTGTTTCTCTTCTAGATGTTCCACTCTAGGGATACATCTTTGTCCCAGTCCACCCGACTTATTCGAGTGGTGGACCTTCGGCGCAGCCTGTGTTTCCTCACAGCCGCCGGAACTTTGCTCCGAAGTGTAACCGTTTGGTACACTAAGGTTTTGTGCAGTCGTACTAACGACCGTACCACAAGTGAGGCCATCGCACTCACTCGTAGTACATCCACACGCTTGTGGACGCTCCAAAACGTTCATCAGATGGCCATCTGATGAACAAGCGGCAGGCATCGTTACTGTCCGATGTTGCAAGTTTACCCGTGGTTCGTACCTTCTGAGCCACGGTATTCCAAGGATGACATCAAATTTGTCATCCAAATCCAATACGATAAAGTCATCGTCATATTGGGTATCTTCTAGCGTATAGCGAATCTTCACTATACGCTTCATGACGGTTACGGATGCGCCTGTAGCAAGACGAACCGTCATCCTCGTAGGAGGTGTGTCACATTCACTG